GGAGGGAGAGGGGAAGAGGGGGAGGGAGAGGGGAAGAGGGGGAGGGAGAGAGGGTATGGGGAAGAGCCAAAGACAAGGCCAAGACTCTATATGCGGGCGAGGGGTGCAGAAATGTGAACAAATACTGCACGACTGGACAATGAACTTGGCAGCCTGGCAGAGAGAAATCAGCCAAGACAGGAGAAGGCTCTGTTCAATACTGAAGCCCTGAAGCCTGACTGGAGGTCACAGGATGTCTGTGAGAGCAGTTTCAGCTGAGTGATGGGGACGCCACAGGTAAAGCAACAGGGAACTAAGGAATAGTGTCTGATGGGTGTAGTGAGGAAAAGGTGAGAGAGACAGGCTCAAAGAGTCTGAGAAGGCATTCTGTTACCAAGGCAAGACTGCCTTCATTTATTTTCTTGGGACCGCATGTTCCAGAAGATAAAATATCATCTTTGGGATGATGGGTATTAGTCTCTGATTTTACCCACCTGAACTTTAATTCTTTTCATACATTCTGGTGACTCCATTTCTTTGTCAGTCATGGTAGAGGGTTTAATCAAATAGCACAGCATAAGTTCCTATTGAGAAATAAAAAACCATTTCTGTACCCTATAAAATAACAGGACAAATCTGGGTGCACCAGCAGGAAATGCAGGCAACCTCCACTCCCTCTCCCTGTGTGCTCCTGGAAACTCACAGAGGACACCAGTGTCCTGCTGGGAAAATCATACCTGGGGCTCACGTCCTTGACTAAGGACTTGACATTTGGTAATCACTGACATGGCAAGAGAATGCAAATAAAGCAGATACACTGATTATAAACATAGCATTTTAAATACTAAATACAGTACGTGCTCATTTAAAGTTGTTGATAGGTTCCTGGAAACTGTGACTTTTAAGTAAATGATGTACAGCAGGTCCTCCTATCTCACCTCCAGAGGCAGTGGGACAAAATGGGAGGGTACCCACAATTGGTTTTAAGCCAGCAAATCAATGAGTAATGAGAACACACACAGCTTTCGTTCTTAATAGTCATAGTGTAAGATGAAATGTCCCTCTTATCTTCCATGGCAATAGGATGTAGAGGAACATAAGCTGGGAAGCCAGATGGCTGAGGGTATGACTCCCAGTTGTGTACATGGGCTGCATGATCTTGGATCTCTGCACCTTCAATTCCTCATCCTGGCCAGGCGAGGAGGCTCACGCCTGTAATCTTAGTAGGCCAAGGCAGGAGGATCGCTTGAGCTCAGGAGTTCGAGACCAGCCTGAACAAGAGCGAGTCCCCATCTCTACAGAAAACCCATCTCTATGGCAAAAAAAAAAATTAGCCAGGCACAGTGGCGTGCACCTATAGTCCCAGCTACTCAGGAGGCTGAGGCAGGAGGATCACTTGAGTCCAGGAGTCTGAGGCTGCAGTGAGCAATGATGATGCCACTGCACTCTAGCTGGAGCACCAGAGTAACACTCTGTTTCTAAAACAAACAAAAAAAATCCTCATCCTTAGTATGGGGTAACAATAGAGTGGTGAGGAAAAAAGTGTTTAGCCCTAAATATTAAGTCCCTTACAGATCTGCAAACTTGGAAATGCGTTGACGATTTTGGGCTCCTTTGTGAATGTGAGAGTGAGTGAACGTTAAACTGCAACAGAGAAAGGCCCACACAGCCGCGAAAGCCCTGGAGAGCAAGGCAATTCCTGTCTTGGTCAGATCACGGGAACCTCCAAAGCTCAGTCACTGGAGTTGAGCACCAGTTGCTGGGAGGGAGGAAACACAAAAACATAATGTGAGGGAGACAACTTCCAGCCCTTCCTGGGCTAGAAGGGCAGGGTATGGAAGATCCCAAAATCTTCCAGAACTTCACCAGCAGGAACATTATGAAGTTTCTACAAGTGACTCTTGATACTACTACATTTAAGGAAAAAAAAAAAAAAAAAGGAAATCGAACCATTTAAGTGACACTTGGATGCCACAGCTGATGTATTACCTTAGAGACATTAACTGAAACTCTGCTCAAGGCAGCCAGTGACTTCCAACTGAAAGGTCTGCGAGGAGAGCCTTCAAAATGGTCATCGACTAGCTCGATAATGACAGAGTAACTGGAAAACACAGAAAAAATACCGAAAAAATAAAAAGCATGAAATCATTCCGTTTAAAAAGACGACTGTTTGTCCTACCAAGAAGATATAGAGAATGGTATTATCAACTGATCTAAAATCCCCTAGACTGCTATTGAGAAAATATTAATGCAAAATTCATATTTTTAAGTTATAAACTTTCAGCCTGATTTCAATGCTTACTTAACAAAAAGGAAGAGAAATATTTTCCCAACATGAAAGCTGTAAATTCGCTTAACTGTTTAGACACTAATACCCACAGAAATTAAGATGAACAATCACTACATAGATTAGCTCAATGTTTAACACTAAAACACATATTATCATAACCTATATATATCGTCCTATGTATAGAGTAACAGTGTTAATGGATTAGGCAGGGACATATAGCATCTACCCCTGGCAGCCCAGGAGGAACATGACTCCTGTTTCTATGGGACTGAAAATCAAATAGAAAGCCAGAAATTTCCCTTTAAGCCACTGATTTATTTAAAAATCACTCCAAACCTTGCGTGGTAAAACGGAGGGCCTTTCCGATACAGCACTGTGAAGAAGAAAAGAAAAAAGAAGAAAATGTATAACCACCCAAAATCAAAAGCTTACTGTATTATTATTTTTTTTTTCTTTTCCAAAGGGAGGCAAACATCCAGTCACCTGTGTGAAGATGATCTGCAATATGCCCTGTGGTCTTTTTTTTTTTGAGACAGAGTCTCACTGTGTTGCCCGGGATAGAGTGCCGTGGCGTCAGCCTAGCTCACAGCAACCTCAAACTCCTGGGCTCAAGCAATCCTCCTGCCTCAGCCTCCCGAGTAGCTGGGACTACAGGCATGCGCCACCATGCCCGGCTAATTTTTTCTATATATATATATATTTTTAGTTGTCCTATTAATTTCTTTCTAATTTTTAGTAGAGACAGGGTCTCGCTCTTGCTCAGGCTAGTTTCGAACTCCTGAGCTCAAACAATCCGCCTGCCTCAGCCTCCCAGAGAGCTAGGATTACAGGCGTGAGCCACCGCGCCCGGCCCCTGTGGTCTATTTTTAAAATCCAATCTATTTTTTTCCCTGAAACAAAGTGCAATTAGTAAAGCAAATCTGTTGCCAAGACCCTAAATATCCTTGTCCCAACCTACGAATGAATTCCAAAGTCAGGTACGAGTGATGCCTGTCTTGTCTCCTGCCTCCACTCTCCAGGGTAAGAGTGTGAATTACATCAAGAGTGAAGTTCATATGATGCGGACCAACATTTTGTTACTTATTTCAAATCAATGTAATTCAAAGAGTCCAAGTGGCTATTCTGGGTACTGTGATGGGTGTTGATGCTAGAGATGAACAAAGCTCACGACTATTTTTAAGAAATTGAAAGTCAAGTGGGTTTAAAAAAAAAAAAAAGTCACATAACCATACACGCCATTCAGGTATCGGTCTGCTCTACTGCTGGGGACTTGAAGGAGGTGGGTCAACTGTCTGTGGAGGTCCAAAGAGCTGCTCGATGAAGGAGCCTGGGGCCAGAGACTCTGAATCTTCACGGGGAGCCCTTTGGTGGCACATGATCTGTGGCAGAGACTGGTCACCTGCTTACTAAATTCACCACTTCCTCCTCCTGGGCATGTGGCCAACCACATCTCTCCGTCTCCCAAGCAGCAAGCATGGCCGTGTGTTGTGTGACCCTACTAGGTTGGCCCATAAAACCCTCCTGTGTACAAAGCTTGTGCTTGTTACTTTTTGAAGGTGACCTTGGAAGCCACACGTTGAAGACCATGAGTCACGAGGAGGAAGCCTGGGTTCCTGAAGCACCTTTTGGAGGTGATCTGCTGCCCACCAATCAGAGACACAGATATTTCATCTCGCATGAACAAAAAGTGAACTCTGTTAAGCCCCTGAGACTTGGGGTTTATATGTAACTACAGCTGTGGGAATTATCATAACTAATACATGATCACATCTGTAAGCTCTTAGCTGTCCTTTGCGCTAAACCGAAACAGAAAAGTTAAAGGAAAAGTTTTGGTTCCCTTGAGGAATTGGTATCATTTTCGTTTTGGACATATCAATCCTATAGCTAATCACGTTTCCCTTTGGCTCAGGACGCTCAGTGCCAAATTTGCCGCATGATTTTAGTAACTGTATAGGACTCCAAGGACAACATAGTAACCCTTGACTTAGTCTTGTTTTGCTAGACTATATTTTCCACACTCACATTTCCTTATTCTACTTCCTATTTAAATTGTATTTAAAGTATTTGGCAAGTCAGCTCAAATTCACTGTGGCACAAATTTAAGAAAATATCCAAACATACAATTCCCAACATTTTTTTTTTTTTTTTGAGACAGAGTCTTGCTCTGCTGCCCGGGCTAGAGTGCCACGGCATCAGCCTAGCTCACAGCAACGTCAAACTCCTGGGCTCAAGTGATCCTCCTGCCTCAGCCTCCCAGAGTGCTAGGATTACAGGCGTGAGCCACCGTGCCCGGCCACAATTCGCAACTTTCTAAGATGCAGTGTAAAGGGAGGAAACCACATACTTGAATGCAAGTGAACTCACGAGTTTTGTTTCCTGCCCAATCTCTGCCTTTCCAAGTTGTGTGTCTTTAGACAAGTTATTAACTTCTTTGAGCCTCAGTTTCCAAAATTCTAAAATGAATACATTAAGGGAAATTAAGTTATTTTCTAGCCCTCAAATGTCATCACTTGTGATCAAATACCCATCTTTAATCCAATATGCATCTGGAGCATTACACAGCTGGGAAGCAGCTCACATCCACAAGTCAGATAATTTCTGATGATGGAGTATGACACCGGCACAGCTTATAAGTTGAAGCATGAACACTGGCATCAGCCAGGCCCAAGTTCAAGTCTCAGTAACGCCAAGACCATGTGGCAACTCTCTGCCCCTCAATTTCCTTAGGAAAAATGGGGTTATAATGAAGGCAGAAGTATTAGTACAGTGTCTGGCATATAGTAAACACTCAAAAAGTTTCCTATAACGATGGTAATTACAGTCGTGCATTACTTAGTGTTGGGATACATTCTGAGAAACATGTTATTAGGTGATTTCACCATTGTGCAAACATGATACACATAAGCTCCGCCTCCTGTCAGATTAGCCATGGCATTAGATTCTCACAGGAGCATGAACCCTACTGTCTACTGAGTATGTGAGGGACCTAGGTTGCGCGCTCCTTATGTGAGGTGATGATCTGAGGTAGAGCTGAGCTGGTGATGCTAGCACCAGGGAGTGGCTGCAAATACAGATTATCATTAGCGGAGAGGTTGACTGCACAATAAATGTAATGCGCTTGAATCATCCTGAAACCGTGCTCCTCACCCCCAACCCAAGGAAAAATTGTCTTTCATGAAGACTGCTGTACATGATTGTATGTACTAGACTTTTATACAACTGTTTACACTAGCATCACCACAAACACGTGAGTAATGTTGCACTAAGACATTATGATGGCTACGTCACTAGGCAATAGGAACTTTTCAGTTCCTCCAGCTCCGTTATAATCTTACGGGACCGCCATTGTATATGTGGTCCATCGTTGACCAAAATATTGTTATGTGGCATGTGACTATATAACCATAGTGTAGTAAGGGTGAAAAATGGAATTGTTTTACAAGAATGCCTAAGTAGAAAGATGAAAGCTTCAAAAGTCTGAGAAATACTGGGCATTTAGAATAAGGTCTGAGATGCTGAGGTTGTGCAAACTTACAATCCCAGCTACTGAGGAGGCTGAGGAAGACTGCTTGAGCCTAGTTCAGATCTAGCCTGGGCAAAACAGTGAGACCTCATTTCTAAAAAGTAAATAAACAGATAAAATAAGGTCTGAAAGAAAAGGAAAAGCTCTTTCTTACAGATGAATACCAGACAGAGATGTGGAAGGAATGACAGGATTAGAAAATGATGACTAGTACGATAATTAATTCAGACAACCATTATAATTATTGCAAAACCAGCTATGTACAATGTCACCCTACAACTTACTTATTACAAGAGAAAAAGTGTAATTTTACAACAGATATTGACAATATCCACCTTAGCCAGATGATCAAACTTTGTATCACCGATAGTAGGACAACCTGACATCATGTTCCTCCTGATGTGGTACAATAAGCACACATATCACCTACGTGTGCCAAAAGAACACTGAGCTTGAGTCTAATTATGAGGACCGATCAGACATATGTAGAACGGGGAACATCCTGTAAGTCTCTTCAAAAAAAGTCAATGTTATGAAAAACAAAATAAGAATATAGAGGGACTATTTTATTTTTTTACAGACAGGGTGTTGCTTCATTGCCAAGGCTGGAGTGCGGTGGCTGTTCACAGGCACAATCATCATACACAGTAGCCTCGAACTCTGAGGCTCAAACAATCCTCCTGCCTCAGCCTTCCAAGTGGCTGGGACTATTTTAGACAAAAGAGACTGCAGTGGGTTTAATGGCAGCCCCCAGAAAGATAGGTCCTACTCCCTGGTACCTGTGAATGTGACCTTATTTGGAAAAAGGGTCTTTGCAGATATCATTAAGGATCTTGAAATGATATCATCGGCCAGGTGGGCTCTAAATCCAATGATAAGTGTCCTTACAAGAGAAAGGCAGAGGGGGATTTGACACAGACAAGGAGGCAGCAATGTGACCACAGAGGCAGACGCTGGAGGGTGCAGCCACAAGCCAAGGAACGCCTGGGGCCACCAGAAGCTGGCAGAGGAAAGAACTGGATTCTCCCCTCGAGCCTTTGGAGGGAGCCTGGCCCTGCTGACGCTTTTTCACACTTCTGGCCTCTAGAACCATGAAAGAATAAATTTTTGTTACTTTAAGCTACCCGGTTTGTGGTAATTTCTTATGGCAACCCTAGGAAACTAAAACCACCAAATGTGATAAATGAATCTTCACTGGAACTTGGATCAAAAAAATCAAAAGCAAAATAGCCACAAAAGACATTTTGGGGATAACTGGGAAAATTTAAGTATGGCCTGGCTATTTAATTTTTAAATTTATATTTATTTATTTTTGAGACAGGGTCTCACTCTGTTGCCTAGGCTAGAGTGGAGTGGTGTCATCATAGCTCACTGCAACCTCAAACTCCCAGGCTTAAGTGATCCTCCCACCTCAGCCTCCTGAGTAGCTGGGATTACAGGCGTGCGCCACCACAACAGCTAATTTTAAAATTTTTTGTAGAGATGGGGTCTCAACTATGTTGCCCAGGCTGGTCTTGAACTCAGGCTCATTCTCCCAAAGTGCTGGGATTACAGGCATCAGCCACTGTGGCTCACGCCTGTAATATGCTGCGCTGCATATTTAGATGATATTACTGAATAATTCCAATTTTTCTTTGGCATTACACGTGGTATTATAATCATGTAGGAGAATGCCCCTATTCTTTGCAGCTGCATGCAGAAATACTCTGGATTAATGTGGACTATGTATGTAAATGTAAAAAAGTTAACAAAAATATTTTGACTAAAAAAATATGCCGAGAGGTGGTTTAGAAAAGAACCAAAGAAGGAGATGGGAAGAAGACATCTCTTTGCTCTGGGACAAGTACAGAGCCACTTGAGCTGCTCTGATGACCACCCCTCCCACCTTGGGAACAGAACTGTCTCAAGGGCCTCCTGTGTTCCAGAATTGTCTACCTACCTTCTCAGTACCTCCACTGACTTATTTAATATGTCCAAAACATGAAGGCAGTATCTAGGAGTTATCTCTGATTCCTCTTACCCACAGATCCCAGATCCATTCTGTCAGTGGGGCTGGTCGGGCCCAGCTCCCCTAACAGTCTCTCTGCTTCCATTTTTACCCTCTTCAGCCACTAATAAGACAGCAGACAAAAGGTCTTGTTAAATTCAAGTCACTGCTCTGCTCAAAATCACCCCAAGACTTCTGGTCCAAAAACCTCCAATGTTTTTGCCAGGCCCTACACGATCTGGCCCCAGCCTAACTCTCAGACACTGTGTCCCATCACTCCCGCCAGGATGTCTCAGTTCTCAACATACCAGTCTCTATGTTGTTCCTGAAACTTGCTGAGCTCGTTCCTGCCTCAGGGTCCGTGTGCTTGCTGTTCACTTTGCCTAGAGCGTTCTTCCCCAGAGTCACTCGAGCCATTCCCTCACTGTGTTCACAACTATTCAGAGTCCCTTCCTGCCCACCCTAGCTTCCTGCATTCTCTAGGCCTTTACTCTGCTTCATTTTTCTTATAGTACTCATCCTGGAAATTACAGAATATATTTGTTTGCTTGTTTGTCCTCCATCTCTTGGAATGTAAGCTCCATGAAGGCAGCTTTGTGTCTGTCTTGTTCACCTCAGTATTCCTGACACCTCAAAAAGTACCCGGCCTACAGCAGACCCAGTATCTGTTGAATGAAGAACTTACCTGGTCTACACTCTCACTTTAAGACTCGGGGAGGCAGCATTGTATAAAGGTTTCTAAGAGCCCGGGCTCTAGAATTCAAAGCCCAGCTCTGCAAACTCTGGCCCTGGAAACTATTATGGACGAATGACCTATTCGCTTAAAACTGCAGTCTCCCTGTTAGACAATAAGGATAACAAGAGTATCGATTGCACTGGACTACTATAAGGATTGAATGATAATAAATGCCCAAGAGTACAAAGTTTGGCACAATAAACGATAGTTTTGATTACTACAATGATATGATTACTCTCACTTGGCAGATGAGGCACCTGAGGCCCTAAGGACAGGGACCACCACGACCTTTTGGCTAATGAGAGGTAGGGGTGGGTGTTTAGAATCTTTTTCTAAGATTACAGAGCAAAGAAGAGGGGAAGTCTAAATTGGGGCTGTAAGCTTCTACCCTGAGGCTTTTCCTGCAGATCACCTTTTCTCTTTCTGGACTTACCTTCCATCCCAATCCAAATATCCAATATTCTTACCTAAGCCCAGAGGAGGACACATTCTCTCACGAAAAGTGTCTGTCTAGTTTCCGTAGTGTAGTGGTTATCACATTCTCACAAAAGTTGGCAACAGCACATATGACCAGTTTGATTTTCTAATTTGAATCTGATGCAAACCCTGTTGAATTACTTACATAAATCTGTTCCGTACTTGAGTCCCACTTTGGGCACCCAGCCCTTGCTTCGGAAGTAGTGGTAGGCCATGTAGGTCGTCCTGAATGTGGGCTGAACTACAGAGAAAGCTTTCCAGAGCTTCACTATCGTTAAAGGCTCCTAAAGTTATTTTTAAAAAAGGCATTGTTATGCATGTATTCATTCATCATTCAGCCAGTGTTATCAACATCTATACTAAGTGTAGAACTGAAGCAGTGAATATGAAAATACACTTCCCCCAAAAGAGGCATTTCCCTAGAAGATCCAGCCCTGTGCTGTCCAATGTGGTAGCTGCCAGCCATCCATGGCTTGTCCCAACTGAGGGGCTCTAAGTGTAAAATACACACTGAATTCCAACTCAGTACGAAAAAAAAAAGAATGTAAACTATCTCAATAATTTTAGATATGTTAGATTAAATAAACTAAGAATATATATTAAAATTAATTTCATCAGCTTTTTTCTTTTCCATTCATTACAGACATCTTACATCATCTGCTTTTCTTTTCTGAAACTTTTTCTATGTGAGTACCCAAAAATCTACAGTGATACATGTGGCTCCTGTCCGAGGCTCCCATTATACTTCCGTTCGACAGCACTGTTCCAGGGGACTCAGAAAAGGCAACTTGAGAATGAGAAGTAGCCAAGGGAAAGGGGACAGAGGGTATTGCAGGAGGTGGTGGTGGGCTGGGGAGAACATTCTAGGCAGAGGAACTAAAATGTGCCCATGGGCTCAAGTGTAATAAGCCACCAAAGCTGGAGGACAGCACATTCCAACATTTTATGGACCCTTAACAAGTAGCTACTCTATGTCAGGCCATATTCAGAAAAGCCAAAAATAATTTTGTAGTAAAAAGTTAAAAAACAAAATTCTCCATTTAGTCTTTGAAACTAGAGAATTTGTTATGTGATGGCACAAAAATAATCCATCAGATTGAGAGGAGGCAGGGTGGGGCTGAAAATGGCCACCATCTGGGAAACTGAGCTGCCCATCAGGCAGACAGCCACTTCCAAACCACTGGAATACTGTGAACAAGATTTATGCAATTAGAATTTGATGAAGGATAAAATTATGTGCTCTCCATAACCAAATAAAATACACTTTCTCTGCTCCACTTACTGTTCTGTTTGCCTTTCTCTTGTTAATTTTATTTTAATTATTTTGAATTATATTCATAAGATTTTAAATTCAAAAAGTACAAAAAGTATCCAGTTAAACGTCTCCCTCCTCCCTGTGTCCTCAGCCCCCCAGCTCCTCTGCCTGGAGGAAAGCCATGGTATCAACCTCTTCTGTGACTACCTTTCTTCTAAAGGCAGCAGGCTACCATACAAAATCACAAAATCATGGGCACTGGAGTTACCTGGACATGTGTTCAAATACTAATTCTAACCAGACTGGCTGTGTGACCTTGGGTGAGTTACTTGTTTTCTCTGGGCCTCAGGTATCTTATCTGTAAAATTCTTACCAGCTGGAGGCAAGGATTAGAAATACAGCATGTAAAGTGCCTAACACACAGCCTTTACCAAAGTAGGTGCTAAATGTCAGTAGCTTGTATTTTTGTTGTTAATTTTTAATACTGCCTGGACACAGATTTCCTGATCATTATACAGTATAAGATATGATACTTCTAGTCTCTGACAATGAAACGTAATCTAAAGGGGGTCAAAGCTGCCTTTTGCTCAAACAGTCCCAATTCAGAGACTCAAAGCCAAAACTTAGAGAAGAAATTCAATTCCTATTTTATTCAGCAGAAGTAGACACATTTGTACTAAATCCCGTACAAATTACAAATTAGTACAACTTGCTTTCTTTTCTTTTTTTTTGAGATAGAGTCTAGCTCTGTTGCTCAGGCTGAGGTGCAGTGGTGTGATCACAGCTACCTGCAGCCTCAAACTCCTGGACTCAAGTGATCCTCCTGCCTTAGCCTCCAGAGTAGCTGGGTCTGCAGCCATGGAGATGACACCCAGCTAAAAAATATATATATATATATATTTTTTTCGTAGGGGTGGATCTTGCTATACTGCCCAGCCTGGTCTCAAACTCCTGGCCTCAAGCAATCCTCCACCTCAGCCCCCCCAAAGCACTGGGTACAGGCATGAGCCACCCCAGCCCAACCTGCTTTTAACATCAGGGAAATTTTAAGTGGATTGTGTCTAAACAAAGCATCTTACCTTCTCATAGTAAATACTGAGACATCCCAGGGCATAGACCAGAAAGAAGGCCTAAAAACAGAGCATGCAGAAAATGTTCATTAGAAGTAGTTCCGCATTCTTGAGAATTATTTTACAGACTGATTTCTCTTCCCATCTTCACCTCAAATACAAACTAATTTCTTAAATCGTCAAAATGGTCCGACATTTTTAACTTAAATGATTCATTCAAATCTCAAAGATGAAAATATCTAAGAAAATATGAATGTTACAAATTGGCTTAAATCAGTAAAAACAAACCACTTGTATGAATTTTCCCATAAAGTATTTTTTCCCCTAAAAAAACTACATAACTGAAGAATGATGTTGATGGTTATAACAACAATGGACACACCTGCTCATTGGATTTCCCTCTGTAAAATTAAATAATCCTATTAAACTAAATATATATAGAAAACAATCTGTGAAAAGGATAGGGCAGTGCAGATTTTGCCTACATGGCACAATGTCAGTTTCTCAGTAGTCCTTGCTGTAAAGTAATTTTCTTTAACTCTGTGTTTGCACTCACTTCATTATACAATAACATGTTTTACTGTATGGGGGATGCTGGAGGAATGACAAAGAAAGCCCTAGTTGAATAAAATCACATTTAAATGGAACTAAAAATAGCTTTCTGATAAAAATATGCTGCCAAATACTGATACCATCCAAAGAGCCACGTGTTGCTGGCTTTGCCTGGCTCTGGTGCTTAGATTGTCAGATACCATTGCACAGACACCGACGAGACCGGTGTGTAGTTGGTAGTGACTAAATGGTAGCTAGTAGTAAAACAGGGCTGCTTTTCTTTTTACATATGAGGGTGAAAGATTAGATTTATAACCAAACAACAAATATTCTGCTTCTGCCCTTGCAGCTGCTGCCAGCAGGCACAGGTGAGGGGTCCTCTCATGTAGCATGACAGGAGAAACACAGTCCCCTCTCTGTCACGCTCCTGTGCAATAGCAAGTCTGGACAAAGGAGGCTTACTCAGCACGTATCCTCACTGTCCACCACTCCCCCAGTCCCGTACACACATAGGAACAAAAGACAGCACAAGCTATATAGGAGCTAAGATCTTAATGATCCCTCAGAAATTAATGATGAAATTGCCCAAATCCACTCCCTGCCATTCTCTGCCTGGCTATCTTATGTCATTACTCTTCACAGCAGCAGTTCTCAAAGGGTGGCCTGGGGATCCCGGGGTCCCCAAGGCCCTTGGCAGGAGGAAGCCTCAAGGTCACTGTAATATTTCATAATATTACAGCGTTGTCTGTCTCGTTTGTGCTCATTCTCTCCAGTGGCTGCAAGATGCGTGACAGCACAAAGACTGAAGCCAGAAGCGGACGTGAGGATCTAGGTGACTTCCAGGAAGCCAGACCTTAAAGCAATCGGCAAAAATGAAAAACAAAGCCATTCTTACTCAATTTTTGTTTTAGAAAATGTAGTTATTTTTGTAGGAAATATTATTTATGTTAAGATGTAATGGGTTTATCACTATTTGTAAATGTGTTAAACACTCAATTTTTGTTTTAATTTATAATCTGGTAAACACTGGCAGAGTGCACATAAAGATACTCCTTAATAATCTGTAAGAGAGTAAAGTGGTTTAATGCAATACTGCTTTAGTTTTACCCACATCCAGAGCTTCTCTGGAGATGAAAGTGGTCACCTGCTATTCCACTGTTCCCCACTGCCATCCTGGTCCCAGCTGGTGGTGGCTTCCTTCCAGCCTCTGTGACAGCCTCCCCATTCTTAGCCCTCTGCAGCCCATTCTCCATGGTGGCCAGATTCATCTTCCTAGCACGTGAAGATCATGTTACTTCCCGGATTAAAACCCTCCAAAGGGCTTTTACTGCTCTTAGAATGAATAAAGTTCAACTGCTTGCTAAGAGCTGCAGGTCCCTGCACAATCTCACCACCACTCTCTTTAGCCGTCTGGTTGCATTTCTGTCCCCTGAACTAAGCTCATTCCTGTCTTTGCCTCTGTAGTCGCTATTCCCGCTCTCCGGCATGTTCTGCCTCAGACTCAAAGGTCATTGCTTAGGGTGGTCTCCCCCGACTGCCCAGTCAAAGTAACCCCTAACCTGACCGTCTTCTTCAGAGCACTTACTTTTGTCTGAAAATATCTTTCTTACATGTGTCTCTCAAACCAGAATGTGAATTCCGCAGAGCAGAACCTCTGCCTGTTCTTTTGGCCTAGAAGAGGCTCTAGCACATTGGGGGTGCTCAATGATTTTGCTCAAAGAATAAAAGAGACAGGTCCCCAGATCCTGCCCTTGGCTTAGACTTAACAGCTGGAGCCCCTCAACAGCAGGTCTCTGCACCTGACTCGGCTGGTCTCTCCTCAGTGAACACTCACCTCCTACTTCTTTCAGCAGCGGTTGACAACTCTGCCATGTAGTCAACAACCTTACTTTGACCTTTCTCTTCCCATCACTCACTACTTATTAACAAAGCATGCTGCTGTTTTTCAGGTGGACTCCAGACAGTGGCCAAAAGGTGCAGTGGAAAAGATGAAGTTGTTTCCTCAAATGGCTGAGTCCCTTTCATCTCGTCCCATTTGCACTTCTTGTTTCCAAATAGTGTAACACAAACAGTAAAATTTGAGATCTGACAGACCTGAGTTCGAATCTTCATTATTAGCTAGGGCCTTGGAAGTACTGCTTACATTCTCTGTGTTTCATCTATACAATGGGAATGATATTGCTTTCTCAAAGATTTGATAAGATCTCATAAAGATTTCATAAGCTTAAATCCCATAAGATTTAATAAGCTATGCAAATTACTTAAATGCTCAATTAATTTTAGTTTCCTTCTGTTTCTAATAACCGTTTGGATAGCACAGTTTGGAAAAAAGTTCAATCCAATCCTTGCCTGACAAGAGATTCTTTCCTGATACCTGCTAAGATGAAAGTTTTACAGAAGCTGATGTCTTTTCATTATTAGCAAACATATGTTTCCCCAAGACTGAATGAAACCAGTATCTCAATTTTATTTAACTAAAACGATGATGGCTTTTATGAAATTTATGCAAACTGCTATTAGGCACTTACTACAGATGGAGAAGATCTTAACTCAATCAAGCTGGTTTAAGCAGAATATAAATATATTTATGGAGAAAAATTATAGTAGTCTTTAAAACCTTATTCAAAAGGCACTTATGTAAGTGTATATTTTTGCTAAATACACTCAAAATCTATCTCACAGTTCAAGTCTACAGATAGCTTTCAAAACTTCAGATATATGGAAAGTCACTGACCAACGGAGGTGGGGGGTGGGGGTGGAGAGGCCAGTCACAATCAACATAGCAGCAAAAAGTAACCAAAAATCTCTAAGGAAAAACCTTAGACAGTCTCATCACTGGATTCTGAGACTTGGAATATATATTATAGACAGTAAGGCGGCGGGGAATGTGGAAAAAGGAGAGGTTGGGGTACAAAATGGAAAGAGCCTGGGGCACAAGAGGAAGCATACGTGAGACCAGACTGCCACACCGTCAGGCGCGTGGCGAGTCCACCAGCTCACCACGGTCACCCCAACCCAGCACACTCCTTAGCTCTCGAGCATCCCCACCTAGTCTTCCTGTGTAGGGACCAGTTTTCTGGTTTTCTTTATTCTTTAAAGGAAATTTTCTCATCTACTCTAAAAGCTCTCTAAGTATATATAAGCAATACAGAGGCACTAATAAGGCAGCCCCCAAACTTGGAGTTAGATTAAGAAATCAGCATGTACCAGCGAACTCCTAAGAGAGAGATCCACAACTTAATGATACTAACGTAGTTAAAGAACATACCAATCAGAAGGACAGTTAGCAAACACAGAAAATAGGGAATCAGGTGAAGTTGACAAGGTCTCTGCATGGTACAGGGGAGGGGAATTTAACCCAAGGGTTAACATGGCAGATCTAGTGGCATGTACTGCACTGCCTCCCATCTAAGATGTTACCAATTCAGTGTTTGATACACTCTCAATTTAATGGTAGCTTTTCAGGAAAAAAGAAATGCTACCACATTAAGTACAATAACGAATTGGAAGGCAGACACATAAAAATCTTAGAATCGGTGGGAAGTGGTGGCTCACGCCTGTAATCTTAGCATTTTGGGAGGCCAAGGCAGGAGGATCTCTTGAGGTTGAGTTCAAGACCAGTCCGAGCAAGAGCAAAACCCCGTCTCTACAAAAAACAGAAAAATTAGCTGGGCGTGGTGGTGCATGCCTGCAGGTCCAGCTACTCAGGAGGCTGAGGCAGGAGGATCGCTCGAGCCCAGGAGTTCAAGGTTGCAGTGAGCTATGATGAGGCCGCTGCTCTCCAGCTGGGGGGCAGCACCCTGTCATTCATTCATTCATTCATTCATAAATAAATAAGTAAAAAAATAAAATCTTAGAATCTTCAGAATTAAGAAAAAGTCAGTTTAGCCTTCTTTGTAAAAAAGGATATAAGAGCCTGGTATCATTAAACATTTGAAGTATCCAACTCGCTCCTCATAGCCTGATTCTGTGCTCACCTGTCTTCCAATTTCAGTATCATTCCTTATTTGAATTTTCTACATAAAGAGAATGTGCCAACCTGGAAAGGCACGTGGCTGGATGTGGCTTTCACTGGAAGTTAATAAACTGCCACTCTGATTTATTCACCAGGCTCTCCGAGCAAGGTGAGCCCAAATGCTGTTCCTAGAGCACAAGTCATTCTTTGTGCTCCAACAAAGTCAAACTTCTTAGTCCCTGAAATGAAACGCAGGATTAGACCTGGAATGCAGGGCCTCAGCTGGGTTGCTACCTTGGAGGGACTCTTGTCTGGGAACAAGTGAGCTGGTCTGCAACACCCCGATCCAATCACCTCCCCGGTAGTTTCCCAGCAGCACACACAGGAACAGTAAAGTTAAACAGATTCTGGAACTGGGAAAATATGGGTCAATTTTCTGATAATTGTTAATCTCTTTAACCTTCAAAAGTTGACTGCCCTAACTTTATAGAAGAATTATGCAATTAGTTTTAATTTACAGTGAAATCAATGTTCGTCTGATTCATTTTTTGGGATACTCCCTGTTTCCAAATCAATTTATTTTTCTTCACTGATCTTATTAAAAAGCATTTGGGCGTTTGCGTGTGTGTGCTTATCTATGGAAGCGTGTAGATGCAGGACAGAGAAGAACTCTTCACAAGTAACTGGGTAACTGCAATTCACAGCTTTTCAGTTAGTCTGTCAAACTGTCAGTGTCTGTTCTGAATGAGTCACGGCAGAGGCGTAAAAACACCCTTACCAGGTTGCACATCCAAATTTTGGTCAAAGACCAAAAGCTTCCTTTCAATGCTGAGCAGATCTTTAAGTCAGCTGTGGGATTATCATCCTTCATCCCTTTGGAGAGCTGCTGTGTATCGCCATAGCAGGGGTGAAACCCATTCCAGCTTTAATGACTGCCCCGTTCCTGACCAAAATACAAGCTGTACAAGTCGTGTGCCAAACATGGGTGATTCATTCGAAGGAAATATGCCAAAATAGAACTGAGAAGTAGAGCTAGGTTTAACTGCATGCTCCTTGAAAACTTCTGTGACACGTCTCTGGAATGTTCTCAGGCACCAAGCAACTTTCAAGAACCCAAAGTAACCTCATTTCCTATTACTCCTGCCTTTCCTCAGGGAGTGTTCAAGAGGAGGCACCAGACAGCAGCAGCTTTTTTTAATTTATTGATTAAAAATAGCACCTGGTCAACTGGAACAGTGGGGCTGAACTCCCAGTGTCTGACACCTAATACTCTCTGCCTATTGCTGCCACTGGTCAGAGTCAAGAGGCTGGTAGGCTCCGAATGGCCCAGGCCTCCAGCCCATCCTCCACCCTGCTCTGGCCACTGCCACTCCCCCACAGAACCCCCTGCTGCCACCAGGACCAGGCCAGACCCCTACTCATAAATGCACCCTCCATGCTCTGCCACTTCTGAGACTGAGCCGACTGAGCTGCCTGGGACAGGCTATGCTGCCCCGTGTCCACATGGCAACCACCATTTATCCTTTAACATTCTCAGCTATCATGACGCTATATAGTCTTTCCACCTCAGCTCTGGCCCTGATGGTCTCCACCAGCTTCTGTGCAAATTCCCTACCTTGTACCTTTATTCGTGTAACAAATAATTATTAAGCACCTAACAGATGCCCAGCATTGGGCCGAAGGATACAGGAAGAGCAATACTGACATGATCCATATGCCACACTGTGCCCATTCCACTGAACTGTAATGATTTCTGGGCTATCTTTAGGACTGGAGTCATACTCTATTTCTGTATTGCTAATACTTAGCTCAGTGCTTGGCACACAGTAAGTATCCAGTGGATATTTTTTTGATTATAAAAGAGAGTTTCAACAAGCTACTATATAGCTTTTGCAATGATAATGATAATGACAAAAATAGCAGGCACTAACATTTACTGAGGCTTTACTATAAAGCAGGCACTGTGCTGAACCCATTACACGCATTATTTAATTTCCAGAGCATCATCCTATGAAGAAGGTGTTGCATAGCCCCCACTTTATAGAGAAGAAACCTGACTGAGGCTCTGAGAGGTCAAACCCTAGAGAATGGATACCAACAGTGCTGTCTGATAGAGCTCTTCACAATGCCGGGAATACTCCACGTGTGTGCTGTCCAACAGTAACCACTGGCCACATGTGGCTGCTCAGTGTTTGAAGTGTAGCTGGTGCAATCGAGAAATGAAATTTTGAATTTTATTCGATTTTAATTAGTTCAAATTAAATTGTCACACATGGCTACTGAATATAGTATTTCATGGTAGACTAAGCTGTCTCATTTGTAAAATGAAGAGATAAATAATTCCAAATATCCTTTCCTGCTCTGAAAGTCTGTGTTTTGTACCATTGGCTTCTCTGCAAGGAAGCACAGACCAGAATGCGGAGACACAACTGCTTTCCTGTGGGCAGAGCTATGAAATTACTAACACAGATGCACTCCATAAGTACTTCCTGCGACCTGGATATACACCAAGAACCATGCTGGATGCTTCTATGGAAGAAAGCTATCACAGAGCTCCTGGGGAAGAAGGGTGTCCAAGAAGGGAAGCTACCTTCAAAGGCAGAAAGGACATATCTGCGTGCAGTATTACCATGAGCAAGAAAGGAGGGACTGAACATAAAGTGAGCACAGACTAGAGAAACTCCAATCGGGGACAATACAAAGCAGTTTATGGAGGAGCACTTTTAGCCAAGTTTTTAGAATGCAGCTATTGCATTAAGTACAGGGAACACATATTCTTAGTGATTCTACAGGAGGAAACAAATCTATTTACTTAATTAGTAAGTCACTATGTGATCTGAATCATGCATCATAGCTTATTAAAAGCTAGTGAAACTCCATGAATATACTAAAAAACAATGAGTTGAACACTTTAAATGAATGAATGAATTGTATGGTATGTGAATGATATCTCAACAAAGCTGTATTTTTTAAAAAGCTGGTGAAAATTAACACTCAGCCAATACGAAATCTTGACGAGAAAAGAAATGCTCAGATAAACCCCTTGAATCCTCTGTGGAATCCCACAGGGAAATCCCAAACACTTATCTTAGAATTGATGAAATAAATGCTGAGCAGGCCTACTACGGAAGCTGCCGACGGTGATTTTAATACTGAATTACAAACAGAACCACACTGTGAAATAGGTTCCCATATGCGGTGTTACCCAGGCCCAGAGGCCAACAGCTAAAGTGATAACATGTTGAAAACATACCTCTTCTAGGCTGAGTTGCAAATACTCAAAGATCCTACATGGATTTCTTCTGCATATTAGTCTCTTTCTTTGTACCAACTAAAGAGAAAGAAATAAAACATATACAGAACAAATGGAAGCACTCTATGTCACATAGAAGAAACTATATTTTAAAATGAACATTTTTCTTACAAATTCCCAAGATTCACATGCTGTTAGGTTAATACTGTTAAAAAAAAAAAAAGATTTTTTATTACTTATGTGGAAAAGAAAGCTTTAACTTTTCCACTATTAACGTTTTGATTTATTTTCTTTTTCCTCATGAACTTTTCCTCGTGATGATCATTTTGTGGGTGTTTCTTACATGTTGTTTTTTTCACCCAGGAGTCTGTACCTCATAAGCATGTGCCAGGTTCCTGATATGACTTCATAAACCTCTAAGGCTACATAATATTCCTTCAAGTAGGTATTTCACATACTATTTAACCATTAGATTGCTTCCAGGCTCTAGTGATTACAGACAGTTCTAGGGTAGTGACTTTTCACAGCATGTCCTTTTGCAAAGCGGCTCTCAGCCGGCTCCCCCACGCTTCTCCCGCGATGGCTGACTTCCACACGAGTCCCTCCCCCTCGGCTGTACTCAAGATCATGCGTAATTACCACTGCATTTCCTTTTCTCCCAAACAAAGGAGAGAATATTATTGGCCTTGCCCTAATTTATACATTTTTAAAAAGTTAAAGTTATTCACAAATTTTGAGGTTTTTGTTGAAACAGCTCTCATAGCTGCTGTGCCACTGGGGCTGGGCCCAGAGCCTGCTGGTTGCCTCAGACCTTACACCAGGCCAGCTACCAGCTGCAGGTAAAGGACATCCCCACTAGCCAACATCTCCAGAAACAGATGGCTTTGGAGGAAGTAATTTATTTTCTTCTACTTACGTCCTCATTTGGGGCATCCTCACTCTCGTTCCTGTTACACGCCACTTCCTCCACAAGCACATACTCATGGTCAGGCCCTCTCTCTCTTGCACAGAGGAGACATGCGTGTTTGCCGCCATGCTCAGGGTGAGGGCCACACTGGGGGATTACAGCATCTGGTTTGCAGCAACAGACTTGGGGCAGAGGTGCAGTGTCATCTACCACGCGGTCACGGTGGCCACCTGTAGTTGGTGGGTCCCTCCCAGAGTCCTCCTGCAGGCAGTCTGATGGCTCACTCAGGTCCTCCATAGCATCTGACTTTCCAGAGTCTCCATTCATCACAGAAGGTTTCCCTCTCCCTGCTGTGCCTTCCACGCTGGAAACCATTTCAGCGTTACGCTCATTGGGCGATTGAAAGTCTTCATTTCTTTTTATACGAGGACACTCAAGTGGTTTTATGTAATCCTTGAGGATTCTATGCACGGTACTCTCATCCTGCCCCTGTCTACGCAGGAGCTTTGCCGCCCATTCTACACGATGCTGATACCTGCAAGATAGAAACAGTGTCAGCAAAGACAACAAAAAAAGACATATAAAAAAGACTAGGCCGGGCGCGGTGGCTCACGCCTGTAATCCTAGCTCTCTGGGAGGCTGAGGCGGGTGGATCGTTTGAGCTCAGGAGTTCGAAACCAGCCTGAGCAAGAGCGAGACCCCGTCTCTACTAAAATTACAAAGAAATTAATTGGACAACTAAAAATATATAGAAAAAATTAGCTGGGCATGGTGGCACATGCCTGTAGTCCCAGCTACTCGGGAGGCTGAGGCAGGAGGATTGCTTGAGCCCAGGAGTTTGAGGTTGCTGTGAGCTAGGCTGACGCCACGGCACTCTAGCCCGGGCAACACAGTGAGACTCTGTCTCAAAAAAAAAAAAAAAAAAAAAAAAAAAAAAAAAAAAAGACTGGAAGGCGGTATGCCAAAATGTTTACAGCAGTCTTACTGAATGGTGGATAATAGGTAAAGATATTTCTTCTTTATACTACATTTTATTTGCTTGATTTGAAAAAAAAATTAACCCCCATTTAACAAAGTATGAAAATTTAAGTAATTTAAAACTAGTGGACCAAAGTAATTTAGGTAAATAGAGAAAATGGCCATCCTTTATCAGGATTTGTTTTGTATTATTTTATATTTTGGACATCGCAATGTTTTCGGAGAGATAGTCCATTCATTATATAAACAGCCTTTGTTTAGTAGTGGAAAGCAAAATGAAAATTTCAATAACAATTCATCACAGTACCTAATAATCTCTTCATTAAATATGGAAAGAAATGATTTTATATATATACATACATATATACACACACACCCCCAATATTATAATAGAAATGACCTTTTTCCCCCATAATTTTCAGAATATATTTTAATGAGAAAGTATTAATATATGTTAAGTTTTTAAAACTTGAAGGCAACACCTAAGCACTTTCCAAGTTACAAAAAATTACAGGCAAGACAACAGGACTCTGCCCTAGAGAAAAGGTGTCCGTGCCTGACAAGGCTGCTGGGATATGTTCACATAATGGAAGAACCACCGTGTGTTGGAGATCTGAAGATCAAACCAAAGACTGTGAAAGTCAAGTACTTTTTGTAGTGATTACTCTGAAAAGCACCTAAGACAACACGTGGCTTGTGAGAAGGCAGAGGTAATTTTACTTTTCACCTTATTTTGCCTGTATTTAGATGACTGAGTATGTCACGGTTTATAAACTGCCAAATCTCACACAATTAAATGAGGAAATTGGTATCTGCTATACCTAAAAAAAATAGATTTGTGGCTGTTTAACCCTGATTCCTAAGAACTCCCAAGCTGTCCACACCCTATTTATCCCATATGGAGATGAGCATGCATCCCTTCATATTAAGAATTGCACCTTGGATTTAAAGATTAAAACCTGCCAAGGCTGCCCTAATACGCGAGAGGTGGGTAGGACGCAGTGACTCTAGTACTGTGCATTCTGTGTTCAGCCCCGACTCTCTCACTTACCACTGTGTGACGATGCGAATCACTTAACTCCCCTGTGCTTCAGTTTCCCCACACATAAAATAGGGATAACAGTACTACCACTTCAAAGGGATCTTGCTATGTATTGCTTTTATAACCAGGAAACAAATGTAGCTGCCCAAAAAACAGCAGGGTGTCTTCCCCCCTGTGACATAGCCACTCATGCATACAGCTAAAAGAACTTTCATTTGAGAGATCTAAAAAGAATCTTAGCTCTTCATATCAAAAAGGCATTGGCTCTATAGGGCTTATGAATCTTCTTTATTTGAACACAAATCTTTGTGTCAGTGTATATTTTTCTGTGGAAGGGACCCACAACTTTTGTCAAATTCCTTGACTCAAAACCTGTGAAACCCCCGAATTAAAAGATTCAACAGTTCCTCCTCTGAGCAGAAGATCTGCAGCCAAGTGAGCACGCAGGGCACTGCTCTGGTTCTTGCGGTAGAGCGGTCAAGGCAGACACGGGTTCCAATACTCGCTCCATCACGTTCTTGTACTGGCTGCATGACCCTGCCTCCCTCAGTAAGGCTCAGTGCTCATCTACAAACCAGGGATAACTGTACCTACCCTCCTGGGGTGGCAGCAAGGATTAAATGAGACGAGACATATGAAATGTATAGCACATACGGAGTGCTCAATAAATATTACATTTGCTACTATATTACTGGGGGATTCTTAGGGGTGGCTTGAAAAATAAACCGGTTTGACTCAATACGTTAATGAATGGAAAATGTACGTCTTAACTAGCTGTTCTGAGAGCAGAGGCAGTGGTGCGGGGACGAGCTGGCCTCAGGAGGTCAAGGCTCTGAAGCTGGCCCCTCTGTGCAGCTCCAAGCAGAGCCCATTAGCATCTCTACCTCTCTGCTCTGCTGCCACACGCCAGAACCAGGCCTGCATTCCTGCCTCTTCATGATCTCAGAGGATCCCTAAGGAAGCTCAAAGCAGACACAGCTGCAGGAGCGTGTAGAAGAAAGCCTCTGAGTGAGACTGAAGGAGTCCTCTCATCGGCTGGTAACACCCTAAGTAGCCAAGTCCTGCTAAAATTGCCCTCAAACACGCTGGAGAAGCCACAGGGAGAGACACGTGAGAAGTAAAAGGCAGAAAGCGTGAGGAGGAGCGTGTAGAAGAGGGGGCAGCCATGACCAGCAGTGGCAGCACGACTGGTGACAAGCACAGCCCTCAGGGCAGCGAGGACACAGGACGGCCCCCGCAAACACACCGCGCTTCTCACGTTTCTATGCCCTGAACACATCTCTCCCACTGGCACAGAGCACCCCTCCCCTTCACCCTGTTAACGCCCGTCAATGCCTGGAAGCTCCTGGCAAAGTGGTTGAGAGCATAGGCTCTGGAACCAGGCTGCGTAGGTCCTTGTCCTGACCTTGAGCATAACTTAACCTCCTCATGGTTCAGCTTCTTCACCGCCAAAGAAGGATAAGAACAAGACGGACCTCACGGGAGCGATGTGAGGACTCAAGGACAGAATACACAGACGGGAATACACTGAGGAGATGCCAACATTGCCAGCTATTTTATTGTTCTCGTTATGTGCTACCTGCTCGCAGGCTCTGGAGCTGAGCCCACACAATCTTGAACAAGCTGGTTAACCACTGAGTTCTCTTATCTATGAAATGAACACAACTACAGCACCTATCCTCAAAGGTTTCTTGAGAAGATGAAACAAGATAACGCAAGTAAGGCACACAGACAGGGAACTGGAACCGCTGGAGCAGCTGGTGCCTGCTAGCTATGATGAGGATGATGCCTCTATCACAACACTCGCACACATGGGCACAACTGTTTACTTCTCCTCTCCCACTAGACAGTAAAGCCCTCAAGAATAGGAACTAGGTCTTTTTCTTGCTCTTGAATCTCCGGGACCTACTCAATGCCTGACACACAGGCGGCTCTCAGTAAATGCTGCCTGAATAAAGGACCACAACAAGGACAGTGACAAGCACCCCTGCAGGGCTGGTCCTTTAGGGACACACCCTTATGTGCATCAGCCCCCTAAAGACATCACCAGAGAGCCCTGACGCTCATGTCCAGAAAGGTTTCATGGAAGGTTCTCATCACCAAAGGACAGCTACTGTTGGAAAAAGGCCAATTAGAGCAAATGCACTTGAAACATGAATCAGAAGTTTACAGTGACTAGTAAAGACACAATTATGACAAACATTTCATTTGGAAAATTAGCCTAAAATACAAAAATAAATACTTTTTTTGTATTCAACAGAATTTAGATTGTATGAATAATGAATCAAATACTGGTTTTTTTTGGGGGGGGGTGGACATTTGCTGATAGAATTTACTGATGACATTTTTAGACATGCTTAAAGTCATACAGGGAAACGAGTTGTAACCTGAAAATTTCTTATTAAAAATTAACCCTCACACAAGCACACTCCCCTTCGAGCAACATTCCTATCCTGTCGCCATGTGTCAAGTCTATGTCACTTTTCCCTTTGTTACGGTAATGTAAATTCACTGCAAATTGAACATCTGAATCTTGCAAAAAAAGCTGCAGGAATAGGCCAGGCACGGTGGCTCACGCCTATAATCCTAGCACTCTGGGAGGCCGAGGCGGGTGAATTGCTCAAGGTCAGGAGTTCGAGACCAGCCTGAGCAAGAGTGAGACCCCGTCTCTACTAAAAAATAGAAAGAAATGATCTGGACAACTAAAAAAATATATATAAAAAATTAGCTGGGCATGGTGGCGCATGCCTGTAGTCCCAGCTACTTTAGAGGCTGAGTCAGAAGGATTGCTTGAGCCCAGAAGTTTGAGGTTGCTGTGAGCTGGGCTGACGCCACGGCACTCACTCTAGCCGGGCAACAAAGCGAGACTCTGTCTCAGAAAAAAAAAAAAAAAAAAAAGCTGCAGGATTCATGAAGTCAGTGAAAGTGATCAAAGCATAGGCAAAGAGATTAAAAAATGAGAATCTGGCAGTTAGATTAGTCTTGAAGAAAAAAGTCAACCAGGGTGATAACACAATAAGGCATATCAGAAGCGTTATGGAAGGAGGAGGAGTGTAGACTGAGTTTATAGGAGGCCTGCTTATTGTATTTCATATTGTCATTTTGTTTCCCAGAGCAACTGTGTGACTGCAGGGCCTTGGATAATGAACAGCTGGATAACCTCTGGGACTGCATTTAATAAAAACATGTACGACGATTGTTGTGGGTTGAATTTATCCTCTCCCAAAAAATATGTTCAAGTCCTAAGCCCTAGTACCTACGACTATGACCTTATCTGGAAATAGGGTCTTTGCAGATGGAATCAACTTAAGATGAGGACGCAGTGACTAATGTCCTTAGAAGAGTAAATTTTGACAAAGACACACAAGGGAGAACACCATGTGCTGACGGAGGCAGAGATTAGAGCGTTGCATCTACAAGCCAAGGGACACCAAGGATTGCTGAGAGCCACCAGAAGGGAAGGCAGGCAAGGAAGGATCCAATCCTGGTGCCTTCTGAGGGAGTGTGGCCCAGCTGACATGAGTTTGGACTGGCCTCCCGAACTATGAAAGAATAAATTCCTGTTGTTTTAAGCCATTTAGTTTGTGGTACTTTGTTAGGGCAGCCCTAGGAAATTAATATAAGGATCAATAAAACTTCTTGGAATGCTACACTGTAGTGCTTACAAAGGGCTGCTCTTCAGGGAGGTGACCATCTCCCCGTCCAGAATCTCTCACATACTCAATCGGGCTTGACCTCATGCTGTCTCCATGGTCAGCCCAACGAAGAGGGACAGGCTCCCGCTGTTTCTGAATTCTAGGTTTCAGCTGTGGCAACACACCTGCGCTGCAGCCCGCATGGGATGGGGGCTCTGCCAGGTTCTGAGCAGGCCTCTCCCACAGACCAGAACCCCAGCCGACCCCAGCTTGGGGTTGTGGCCACTGAGATCTCCCTGGTGCTGCTGCCTCCTTGCCACTCTGCTGGCCACGGGGTTACCGGGAGTGATACCAAAAAGGAGCTGTTAGATTCTGCCAGTACATGCTAGAAGCAAGACGAAAAAATCACTGTGGATTTCAGTTTTACAAGGTTTCATGGAAGAGTTGTAATTTGAACTGCACCACAGGGACAATGAGGTCTGGGATGGATGGAGATTTAGTTAATAAACTCTTACCAAAGGACTGCAAAGTGTGCAGCCATAGAGAGAAGCAGGGCCTGGTCCCTGCTCTCCAAGGACTGACAGTCCAAACCCCTGTGTGAGGGATGACACGAGTGCCGCATGCCAAAGCAGTTTCTGCAGGAGCCAGGTCAGCAGAGGGCGTGGTGGCGAGGAGAGAAACCCAGGAGGTGATGCATGAGCAGGACTGAGGAGGTGCAGCAGTCAGCCAGGCAGTGCGTGTGTGTTTGAGGGGGTCAGGGAGAAATGTTCTGGGAATACCTAGGTGTGAATGAGGAAGGTCCCTTGGCAAGGAAGGAGACAGGACCATCTGTGCCCACACAAGGCAGGATGCCAGCTTGGAACCTAAATCCAAGCATCTGAGGACTTAATAACAGAGTCTTCACAGGAAAATTTTTCATATATTGGAAGGAATTCAACTGGCAAAGCATTGTTTAAACAAACACTAACCTTAATGCATTTCAAAAATGATTTGATCTACATTAAATTCAGACATAATTTTCAAGGATACATCTAATACCAAAAAAAGAAAAGAAGTGTGGACTGGACTAGCACACTGGACAAGACTACCTAAAAACACGTCTAATTTAAACCATTATTTTGACCAAAGCCAAAGCTGATCGTAACTTACTTCTCTGACGTGATGATAGGCATGTTTGTCTTCATATCTGTAACAACAAGGAAGTTCTATTAGTTTCAGACAATTTCCTTAAAGGGAAAAACACTAAAAACCTATGAATAACAAAGAGAATCAAGATTCACAGAATCACACACCCAGAAGGTTAATACTGTCCAGTCAGTGATGGTGAACACACGCTTTACATGCCACCTTCCTGCACCCGCTGCCTGCAACTGCTGCTGTTGGTCACATCACTCTTGCTGGGCTTAGATGGGACCTCAGAATCCCCAACTCAGGGCTCCAGCTAAGCAGTGACGGCATGTGACAGGAAACCCCTCTGCCACATCTGAACTCTCGCTCCAGCTCTCAGATGAGAATGTTGAGGCCCTAGAGGTAGGTGTTCTACCTCCATTCTCTTGTCTTCGCCGAGAGCTCCGCATGTGTGCACAAAGAAAAGGCTGGAAAAGTAAACTTGACGGCAGTGCCAGTTCTAGGTGGGCATTTGTCTAGCAGTGAACGAGGAAAGGCCTTTGTGAAAGCCTCTTTCTCCGACTCCACAGCCCAGCACCAGGAAGGAGTTCTGGGCTCCAGCTCTAGCTCTGGGCATCACTGGGAAGAATCACATTACCTAATTAATGGTCTGAGTTTTCATCCTCTGATTCTGCCTTTAGGCACGCGGTTTCTCTTTTCCCAAACTCAGCCTCCTCTGCAAGCATTAAAGGCTTGGAACAGATGTTCAGCTTGAACACCTTAGGAAAGTGAGCACATCCATCCAGAAAATCTGGAGACTAGTAAGCACTCTGGCTGCTGTTTAAAACCCATGAATTTTTGGGTGGTTTACTAAGCAACATTATTGTGATAAACGACAACTGACATAAAGTCTATCCCATTAGAACTGAACAGTCAAATCACTGTTTTAAAGTTACTCAAAATAGTTTCTCCCTGTGTGATTATATAACCAACTTGATATATGTATTCAGTTGTTTCGTTTCTATTTAAAAAATTACATTTTAAAATTTAACTTGCTTTATAATTATGCAATACTCTGACAAGGTTTCAAAGTCAAATCTATAAAATCTCACATTTTTCTTCATCCTGTTTTATCCCTTCTCATAGACATTT